AGAATCCACACGTAAAAACAATCCCAGCTGATTCTACAGATCGGAAGTCTGAGGAACACTGTGTTAAAGTACCAAGCACCCCGCCAGCAGGGACAAGGCACTCGATACACGCGGCACACAGCTGCCGTCAACTGAACCAGCTGCACGATGTCTGCGTCCCCAGAACCACAGGTCGTGACGGCCATAACCAACCTTGCCAGGGTTCACTAACCATTGGCTTCACGCTAGAGAACCCACTGGCTTCACGCTGGAGAACTGAGGCTGCGTGCAATGAGGTGAAAATCCCATATAGACCCAAACACCAAAAAACCCAGATTTTAATACCCACCAAGGTCTGCCCATAACACCAGTAGAAACAAGGACCGCCACTGAAAGGGAATTAGAACCAGGGTGAGCTGGCATGCTGTCCAGGAAACAAAGCAAAAGCAGATGTGATTGGGTTTAGCACAGGCTCCCCAGTTAGTTTCAAGCACTCGGCTTCCAGGAGCGTGGGTTGACCACACCCTCACGCGAGCTGCCTCCCCTTGGATTTCCAAGCCTGTGTGTCTCAAAGCAAAAGGTAAGCATATTTTCCACGTTAATTTGCACTTTATTTACCCGTAGGATGCTTCCTAAGCGTGACTCCACACTCCCCAAGTCCCAGGGGCCTCTTTCCAAAACTCTTTAAAGCCACTTGGTCTTCCAACTCAAGTTAGGCCTTGAAGGTTCTTCAAAAGGGTTGAAGAAAAACTCAGGACTCTAAGTGCAGACGAGCTCCACGTTTGGCAACGTCATGCCCTCCTTAAGACTAATCAATTTGCCTAGGGACAAGGGTACAAGTTCCAAAAACTGTCTCAAAACCACAGGTCGGTATTTTCCACAACTTTCTACCTCCCACATTTTGAGCAAAGAATTCTTTATTTGCCCACTTACTCTGACTGGATAAGGTTTTATTGAGAACCTACGAGGAGCTCAGTACTGTAGGTAAAGAGATGGGTAAGAACCAAGCCAAGCCCTCTGGGGGCCCAGGGTCTGCAGACAGAGCCAACTGGTCAAAGCCACGGTCCCCTTCTTCTTTCTGTGGACAAAAGATCCCTTCTGCCCGCGGGGAATGTATCCCAGATGGCTTGGATAAAATTGCCTTGCCCAGCATGCAGAGGCATGAGTACGTGGCCAAGGTCCAGCCATGAAACACGTGTCCCTGTACCCACAGTCACTGGCTCAGAGGGGATCCCAAGATCCTAGGGTCCAAGCTGGGCCAATGAGACGACTTTCCTCCCAGACATGGGAGGACAAGACTGTCCTTCTGTAGGAGTTGCTCACATTGTGGGATGGGTTTGGGGGTGTTGGTCTCCCTGTCCGTGAGATGGAGACAAGGGGAGCCCTGACATAGTAGAACTACTCTTGCCTGAAGCCAGAGTCGGAGTCAGATCCACCCCTGGAGTTTTCGCGTATGTGAGCCAAAACTGTCCTCCCCTACCCCACAAGCTAATTAGAATAGGGCTTCTGGCATTTGAAACACAAGTCCTGATTCAGTCTGCGAGGCCTTTATCCCCACAGATGGAGCTTTGGAAAAATCAGCCTCCTTGCTTCCCTTGGCTTGTTTGGTTGCACACGTCATATGTGCTGAAAACCAGTCGATTCCTTCCGGAACACCTTAGTTATGCGGACAAACTCCCGGAGGGGCATGTGGAGCATGCCATCTCCCTGACTGTTCTTCTCTTATTCAGCTACTCAAAATCCTCCTCTGCCTGAACCTGTCTACTGATTATACCTTTTGGGGGTTGAATTATGTCCCCCCGCCAACCCAAAAAGATATGTCGGCGTCCTAACCCCCAGTACTTTAGAACGTGACCTTATTTGGAGCGAGGGTTTTTACAGAGGTCAGCAAGTTAAAATGTGGTCATTACAGGGGCACCTGGGTGGCTCAGTCGGTTAAGCATCCGACTCCGGCTCAGGTCACGATCTCACAGTTCGTGGGTTTGAGCCCTGTGTCAGGCTCTATGCTGACAGCTCGGAGCCTGGAGCCTGCTTGGGATTCTGTGTCTGCCTCTGTCTCTGTCCCTCCTCTGCTTGCTCTCTGTCTCTGTCTCTCAAAAATAAATAGACATTAAAAAAAGAGAATGAGGTGACGAGAG